GTCAATGTTATATTTTAATGAAGTTAGTTTGGAGTGTTTGCTGGCTTGGCAAACCTTTGTCGAATGCACACCTCATTTCACAGGCCTAAAATTACCGGAATCATTACGAGTTAGGATTTGAATTCAAGGGTGGTCAACCTAAACATTAGAGGTAGCGCCTTAGACGTAAACACTTTCTGGCCATCGTGCCATCCAGCTACCAAGATTAGGGGTTACATATGAGAGGTAGTACCGCTGTAGCGATCATAACCCTGAAATGATGTAGATGTGGATCGCGTTATTTACAGTAAAAAACAAGAATGAATTGTTCGTTTTGCTCATGTTCATCGTTACACCATCAAACGTGACCCTTGTTGTGTTCTTTAAAGTTGTGAAAGTTATTCCAAACAGCAGTGAAAAAAATCGTTTATAGACTACATCACACTATAATGTTTATTTTCATTTCACAAATGAGTACAGCTGATCATTAAATGCCAAATTTTCGAATAAGGAACTCACTTTGGAATACCACTGGACTTCTGTATCGACTATAACTATATAATATTTACATTTCCTGTTGACAATCCAACCTTAACATCATTTGATTAGAATCTTATGCGAGGTCATTATCACCAACAATGTGTAACTATGGAACAACAAGCTAGAAGGCATTTACATCAATTTTGCACAACTAGGCAATAGCAGGCCTACGCCTCCATAAGGAAATGACAAATGGGAAGATTACTCTCGAATATCAACTCGCTGGTAAACCTTTGATTATCGACTGAGTGGTTGAACCGTCATTAGCTCTCATCGGGTTACATTATAGAAATTTTAAATGAAGGGCTATTCGCTAACTAAATTAAGAACCTATATACAAGCAATGTTTGAAATTAATTTTTAGTGGATGAAGTCAACAGTAAGTTAGATGCAGGATTACTAGCGAGTTCAAAAATGAAACCTGTTAAACTACATTCTTACTACTAAACAATTACAGAAAATGACATCAAAAATGTTTGTAATGGCACTCAAGCATGAGAGGCGTTCTCCATAAACAGGTACTATGTAAACCTTGGAATACTTTTGAAACACCATCTATAAAATGCCGCTAACCGGAACACAGCGGTTCTGATGGTACTGTCAGATATGAGGGGGGAGGTAGCATCTCCCTAATTCGGTATTTCTCTCGTAGAATTTCACGTACATCGCGTTTCTGAAACATGGCAACTTTGTATATGTAATCTCTTCTCTTTTCTTCTTTCGAAAAGCGAAGAGGCATAAGAAAAGTAGTACAAAAAAATACTTTTTGTTCAGTGATAATGGCCGAAACAGTCTGTAACTTAAGAGGGCAGGGCATAATTATGTACTGTATTCAGGCCATTGGCGTGTTCGTTGCGTTTTTTCTTCTTTTTGCGTTGTTCTGTAAGGCTCACAGGTATATCCTATTTCTTTCGATATTTCCTTTAGTTTTTGTGATTCCTAAGTTTCACTCTTTCTTGTTTGAAGCGTCCACTGCTATTACATTGCCCCCATTCTACCTTTTCCGCGCTGTCCTTGCACAGTAACAGACAACTTTCTGCTTAATCTTGAGATTGTTGGAGGAATTGCCACTCTGAAGTTGTACTAACAAGATTGGAAACACTGGGTTTGTGTAACATGAATGCCGCTCTTTTCATTTTTCTGTCTCTCAACCACTCTAGAATCAGGTGGTAAAAGTTCAATTCTGTAAGTGAGAAAATCTCGAGTATTTCGCTTCATAATTATTTCTTTGCTAGTAATTTTCTTCAAGGATAGACCAAGAATTTTCAAATGCGAGCGTTTGTGCTCGACGACTTCGAAAAAGAACAGCCACTGAATGTCATGCCGCTCGTGCACGGGAGCGTAGTATCCAAGCGTCAACACCACGGATGTGGGTCAAAACAAGAGGCGGCCTTTTTCGCTTTTCACCAGTATGCTCACTAGTATGCGTCTCTGTGATCAATTTTCACGAACATTAACTGTTTCTGGGCTTAATACGAGGACGTGACGCGCGACAGCGCGAGTTTTGGGTTTTTCGCCGCGTAGGACTGGATGGCGCATGCATAGTCGGTCGTCCGACAGCAACGATCGTAACTGTCGCACAGCATTCGATGCGTATCGATCGTCAGACTTGCCTGAGTATTCGACGTTACATCACGTATCGTTACGGTCGGACGACCGACTATGCATGCGCCCGGAGCGATTTTGGAGGGACCGCCGTCCTCCCTCGCATCCGTCGATTTTAGATTGTAAGTATGCAAAAACTGGATGCGACAAAGTGTTTCCAACAATAGTTAATGTGTTAAAGTTATCGAAAGGTACAGTGGTAGAAATTTGATCAAAATGACGTGCTATGGCAATGAACGCAAGTTTAATCCTTTTGCTGTAGTGAACTGAAAAGTATTTATGAGGTAGTTTTCCAGTAATACAAATTTCTTGTCATTTGTATAAGTCTTATTTTGCTTTTGCTTCATCTATCTTTTGCACACGATTAAGAGAATAGGAAGAAAACCAGAATGAACTGAACTGCGAATTCGTAGGATTTGGAGAATTTTCGCTGAAGTGATTAATTTGGCCATTTGGTGAACCTCACCTTGTCTAGTTATACTGTGGTGCGATCCACGCATAAATACAAAAAAATAGAAAGGTAGTACTATTAGATGTGCAAAAAATAAATAAGTTGGTGCGAGGCACATGTGCTTCTCATGGTCTCTCACGTGCTCAAACAATTACGCACTGCGCTGTGGTCAACGTGTTGATGTTGCGGTAACAGTTTCAAATCTATCGAAAAATACTCAGTTTGGGTAGCATCCGATGAAAAAAAGACCTAAACACTAGTTCTAGTTGTGAAATAGGCTATTTACAGCCTACTCATTTTTTGCCAAACTGTAGTGAAGAAGAAACACTGCTCTGTGCTGACTTCGAACACTTGAACAATAGAAGTGACCTCAAGCCGCTACCGGCGTAGTGTACAAAGTTCCCAAGGTCCCGGACACACACACCGGCCATCGAAAAAAGCTACGGTACGCAGTGAGTAGAACAATATTAACACGTTGACGACATTGTGCAGCGCATGCGCATCACACCTTGAGCACCGTGTGGGACCGTGTGCAGCGCATGCGCTGCACACACAAAATATTTATTTTTTTTTCGCGCATGCGCTACTTCTTTTCAATTTTTTTGCATATATTCTTAGATCACATCACAACATAACCATAAACGGTGTGGTTGACCAAAAGGTTGCATATTCTTCACTTAAGTTTTTCCTACTACTACAAGTTCATCGTGTTTCATCAAGCTTCGATCACTTTCTTTTAAATATGTGAAAAAGAAGAGTAGTAGAAGAAGTACAGCTCTATAAGTATAGCAGGATATATGTTTTCCAGGGAAGCAACCGCGTCAAAAATATTTTTGAGGTCCACTACAGCGAAAACAACTGAAACTTGTATTTTTATTTACATCACATCATCGCAAATCATCCCAACCCGTCCCTTAAAGACGAATTCGTTAAATCTTACATTTTTGTATTCGCCGCCAAGCTCCCTGGTCAGAATCGGTAGTAGTTTTTTCATCGTGACAGAAATGAGAATGAACATCAGCGTATAATTTAAAGAATCTTCCCCGAAAAAAAAATCGATTTCCATCTCAATAAATCACTGGCTTGAGACCCATCACTCACGATCAAGAATGAAAAGAAAACAAAAAATCGTTAGTTGGTAAACATTTCGAAGAACCGGAAGGACTATTAAGCGTTCAAATTCCCGCAGACATCTGTCAAAAATGTTGACGGCGGGAGCGCTTCCTCTGGTTGTCAGAATTCCGTCATTAAGAACTCTTCTTGACCTTTTGTCTTATTGCACTGACATCTCACACTTCTACCGCCTCCTATTCCGTCGATTGTTTTGTCTCTATTCTCCATATATGATCGCGTTCATTAACATCTTTCAATGTGGCCCTAATACGTGGCCGCCCAAGGCGCACTTGTTTCCATGTGTTGCGCGCGACCTACCCACGACCGTCCATGGGGCGTAAGTTATCGACTGTTTCTCTAAGCAATTGAATAACAACCTTAGGCGCTATGTGACTCGAGGGGGGCCAGTCGCCGCGCGCGGCCGTGCGGCAACAGGAAATTCGAACATTCCGGCTTCTCACGGAACATTCCAGCTTCTCACGCATGTCATGTGACTGCCCTCACCCCCAACCCCCCTGAATTTGGCTACACTCCCCCTGGCTCACGAATTTCCTGTTGCCGCACGGCCGCGCGCGGCGACTGGTCCCCCCCGAGGCACATTGCGCCCGGGTTTCTCGTATAAATTAACTATAATCCGGTTCACTCCTAAATAGCCTTTTACTTCTTAGCAGCGGCATGCGGCGGGTGGTCCAGTGCAAAAATAAAATTTACTACTATGTCGCTAGCCGATAGTGGTTCTGAGCTGACGATAGGATTCATTAAGTGCAGTCCTTGAGTTTGTGGAAGAGATTTTCAAAGTCGTTGCGTACCTTCCAGATACACCTTATTTGTACGCGCATGTTTTTCAAAAATGATATTATATGTATAGTTCTGGTCTGTTCTAGATAGAAGCATGGTGATGTGTCGAGGAAATGGTATATAAGCGACACAACATCCCTCCGTCGACTCCCTGAGAGCAGGGTCTACAACTCCTGCCCCATCTGCACCAATCATGGCAAAATGCTGGAGGTGTGATCATATTCACAAAATGCTGGAGGTGTGATCATATTTCAAAGTCTTCAGGTTCAACAGGCAAAGGTGAGAGGTACGGTAGACAGAAGAAGCTTAAGTAAACCTCTCCCTTACCACATGTCAATCAGCGCAGTGGCGCATTACCTTGGATGTAACCACAACATAAGAGTTAATGGCTACCATACAAAATCGTTGAAGCGATTGCAAAAATTGACCTCTTTCGGAAGGCTTTCCAGGAATGGCAGCAGCTTCAGAAGCTCCGTATCATCTTTCTCATGGAACCAGCTTTCGATGGGAATTCCGTTGTCGATTTGGTAAGCGAACGACTGTGGAGCATTATCGATGATAATAGTTCGAGAAAGATCTCGTCCAAGGATGGAAAGATCCTTGATGTAGTTGCCATAAACGCAAACACAGTGCTCTCGGAACAGTCGGTGCCTTACCAATCGTTTTTGTGGATCAAGCAAGTTCTGAAATATAATTTTTAGTTGCTCCAGTAATTTCAGTATACCAATAATAAAGATTCCTTGCGGTTGTAAATAACTCCTTACCAACAGTTTGTCAGCATAAATTCTCTTGCTTGCCGTGAAAAGGATGATTTCATAGTTGGCTGACAACCTCTCAAGGAAAGTGTGCAGATGCGGTCGCAATCGCACGTATACCTGAGAGCAAGACGGTAAGTTATACTAGTATTGAAAACCGGGGCGAGCGTACCTCGTATGTGTTGTTCTGAAAGTTCACAGGGAAAACCATGGAGGCGTCAACAAGTGGACTAAGACTGCAGTGAACAAGAGTTTCATCCTGAAAAAAAAATAATCACTATAAAACATGCAACGAACAGAATGCGAAAAAAACGTACCAAATCCAAAACAAGTGTGAATTCAGGAGTGGATCGTGTTCGCAATGGCAGTGCAGGGCAGCGAAACCTCATTTCATCGGTAAGCGGTGGTACATTGGCTAACATCAGCATCCTGAACATGATCACAGCTATGATTCCAAACAGTGCTCACATTATCATAGCACGGACAACCTCTACCACGTGACTGGCTGTTGCAGCAAAAAATCGTTAACAGAAAAATCTGCAACTGACAATGAGACCGGGGCCATCTGCCCTTTGATAATTTACGGGGGAGTCGTATTAAGGTTTTTCGGAAGGGGTGGGGGTCGTATTCTGGCTTTTGGTATTGGTGGTGATGACATGGGAGGCTGTATTTGAGATTTTCGAAGGTTTTGGAGACGGATGTTGGGAGATCGTGTTGCAGTGGAGAAGGAGACAAGGTGGTTTTCGACATTTTCGGTGAAAACTTCAAAAACGATGGACGAAATTAAGAAAATA